TTCAAGTGTGGCAGAAGTATTCTATAGGTGGAGTTCATATTGGTTTTCTTAGTAGTGCCAGAATCTAACTTTGTACAATAGACCTGCATTGTTGGAAGGCAACAAAAAACTTCTATTGTCATCACCAGCTTGTGTTGTAAGGGTAACTAGAATCCTTGATCATCACATATTACCCTACTAAGTTCCCCAATCATCAGCATGACACCTGCAACTAACCTAGCTTATTGCTAGTTGCATTGGTATTGGCTGCCATTTTACTCTGGATACTATGGGGCACAACTCCTTGGATACTTTCAGATAATAATAGTTGTACAGAGATTTCTTAGGCATATCTAATCTAATCACTAATTAGTAAACAATATCGAGTTTGGTAATGATAGCCATGTCGATCTTTTGGAGAGGATAAACCATCTGTCCTTTTTCTGAGGAGCCATGGAAGAGAGAAAAATTCCTAAAGCCCATGTCCTAGGAAAGGTTACCACTTCTTAATATGGTCCTTGAGAAAAGGGAGTCAATTGGTCAGAGGAGTAATGTTATAGAGACGGAGTTTTCAAAAGAAAAAGAAGCCTAGAGAGGAAAATCTTTAGGGAAAAGAAAAAGCCTGGCTTCGACAGGAAAAAAAGAATAAAGGTAAAAAAGAGTATATAAAAGAGAGGGGAAAAGATAAAGGAAGGAAAATAAAGAGATATAGGAAGAAGGTATAAAAAGAGAAAAAAGAGGAAGATGAAAAAAAAAGTAAACAACTTAAAATTTCTTAAGGAAATTTTTAAGCATAAAAAGAGGAATGGGAAAGAGTTTTTTTTTTTTTATTATTTATTTATTTTTATACTGTTATTGTTTATAATTTTATTTAATAAAATAATATTTAAAATCATATCAAATAAATAATGAATAAGTATATAAGTGCAAAATCGACAATGTCATTCTTTTTTTTTTTAGAGCAATAAGTAGTAATAAAGATCTAACGGCTGAACAAAGAGGTACCATTATTTTTGGATACCTTAGAAAGGATTCACTTCATACTATTGCAGCTCTGGTGGATTATGAAAAATCTGTCATAGGAAATATTATTAAAGAGTTTCGCAAAACAGGTACTATAGAATCTTGAAAAAAAATAAATATCCAGAACATCCAAAATTGCTTACTCCTTCTGACCATTTTAAATTTAAAAATCTAATTATTAACAAAAATTCTGTTTAAATATTTCTCAGATTATTAACCTTTTTATTGCTTAGGAAGGAATTAATATCTCAAAATACATTATCCGTCGTACACTGCATAAAGAAGGTTTAAATTCCTGTATTGCTTGTCCTAAGCCATTGGTCTCTTCAGAAAATGTAATTAAAAGACTTAACTGGTCCCTTGCCTATAAAATTGATCCGTTCGGCACTTTCAACATGTTTTGTGGTCAGATAAAACTACAATTCATCTTTTTCAAGAATATTCTTGTTGGGTTTGGCGTGAACCATATGAGGAATGGGATATTAAGTATTTAAGTTGCATTATTAAACGTAACCCTGGTCGTATATACTGGGTTGCTTCTTCTGATATGGAGTTGGACCCCTTATTCCATTAAAGTCCTTCGTCACCAGTGCTTTACATGTCAAAATTTTCTATAAAAATATTTTACCTGCTATAAAAAAATTTCCAGAAAATGAGAATCGTGATCACCCACTATTTCAGCAGGACAATGTGAGATTATATACTGCTAAAATCGCAAAGGAATTCATGAAAAATAAAAATATTAGGGTAATGAACTGGCCTTCACAGAGTTCAGATTTGAACCTGATAGAGAACCTTTGGAATGAAGTTAAGAAATCCATATGTCATAAGCCAAAACTATACATGTGGTATAAATTATTTTGCTGTTGACTCAATTCCTAAAATCCACAAAAATAATTGCATCATGACTCAATTATTTATATATTTTAATAGTAACTCAATTAATTGTATCAAATAATTGTGTCAATTGCGTCAAGGATCTACGAATTTCAGTAACATGTATAGCCAAAACCGAATAATCTTGATGATCTTAATATTCTTATACAACAGGTGTAACAGGAGATATTACCCAAATATTGCTATAATCTTATTAAGAGCATGCCAAATTAGATTACCATCTGTATTATGGTTAAAGGAGAATCTACAAAATACTAAAAGCAAAAAACTAATTTTAGTTTGATAGAAAAAAGTTAGATTAGAGTTTTTTTTTTATAAAATTTAAACAAATAAATAAAATTGCATAAAATTTAAATAAATTATATCTTAATATTATATAAATATATCATTAAATTTTTAAAATTTATTTATTAATAAAATTTTTTATTATTTAAAAAACAAAAGTATTCACAATAATATAATAGGTCTCTGTAGAATCTCCATAAATTAATAATCTATTAATTGTTTTTTTAAATTTAAAAAATTCTCTGGTTTTATTTTCAAAATTGCCATATAATTTGTTTCTATATTTTAATAATCTCCTTAATTTTATAAAATTTAATTTATAGAGGTTCATCTGTATATATAAAAAAAATAGTAAATTGTAATCATACCATATAAACATATAAACTGTATACATAATCTGGTTTTTTGATGCGATGTAGCTAAATGTGATAATAATGGGTATAATAACACAAGATTACTGCTGTGCAATTTGATTGGATGAAAGACACTGTGTGCCGAACTTGCTTTGTAACCACAACTAAAAGAACGCCCAGTGGCTTACAGTTTTCTCATTACCACCTACTTATACAAAGGCGTTATCAACGTTTGGCAGCCTCGTCACAACGGTCATTATATGCAATAAGAGAATTCAAATTATAACTCGACTTCCTACTTCCTTTTAGCGCCACATCTATTCAAATATCGCATGGCTACCAAAGCTGCATATAAAAGATTGACCAAGGAATATGCAGCTCTGCAAAAGGTATTGTCAAAGAACTTTTAGATATGTTTTAGACCTTTTTTTCTGTTCGTACTTCTCTTGTTTGTAGTTTACAACGTAAATTTTATGATCTTGAATAGAACCCACCACCATATTTGATGGCCAAGCCTCTGGAAAATAATATTCTAGAGTGGTACATGTTTTAGAGATTTGTTTGCCCTTGTAAATAGGATAAGTGATTAAGAATATATGTCACATTTCATGTTTGTAGGCATTACGTCCTTCGCGGACCACCAGATACACCTTATCATAATGGAGAATATCATGGTAACGCACCTAGCCTATGACACTTGTTACAAAATTGTCTTGTGTTATTTATCTTAAAGAATAATGAGATCCTTCAATCTAAATAGGTGTTCTGATATTTCCCGCTGAGTATCCTTTTAAGCCTCCATCTATTCGCATGACAACTCCTTCGGGTATTTTAATTTTTATTACATCTCGTTACATTTTTACAAATATTCCAACCTTCACGCTCAACCATATTTCTGTGATGATTTAAGGACGATTCCAACCAGATACTAGGTTGTGTTTGTCCATGTCGGATTTTCATCCGAGCACCTGGAACCCTAGTTGGAGTGTCGCCACAATTTTGACCGGATTATTGAGTTTCATGGTAAGCACTCTTGTAACTTGTTTTTCAGTTGTTTTAAAATTGTCTTGCTAACGACGTTATTTATTTTTCGTGAAAATAACTTAGACAAGTAATGAAGCTACCACGGGGAGCATTAAGACAACAGATTCTGATAAAAGGATATATGCTGCGCGATCGCATCAATTCAACCTGAATGATCCAAAATTTAAGGGTAAATTACGGAAATTTTGTAATCTTTCGATATAATCGGTTCGATTATCATTTACAACGTAGCGTTTGGATTTATTTCAGAAATTTTTACGGAGCTTTGTACTCCAGAAGCAGTGCCCGTTGAAATTCTTTATCCCATCAACAAGCCATCATCCAGTAGTACACCTGTAACAGCTTCCACTGGAGGCACACAACCGGTTAATCTCGATTCTCAAGCTCCGCAACGAAATGACGCTGGCGCGGCTAACCCGCAACCGGCCGCGAGAAACGTGCTTATGCAACGTAGACCCCCAAATCGTGTCGATAACCACGTGATTCGGGGCATTGCCACACATGCGGAACGTGCCAATAACAGTACAGTTAGAAATAGTGCCAACACCACTATTCCACAGATCAACAACACTAACAACAATAATAATAACGTGGTTGTTCAACGACGACTTTTAGACCAATGGCGGAAATGGATAATATTGTCGTTGGTGTGCCTCTATCTTGTGATAACAAAATTACTTGCGCGAAGTTCTGAAGCTGTTTCAGGTAGTCCTGATAGTGGGGCACCTCGGATGTGATATGTATATTCTTAGTTTACCGTTAAATGTTGATCGGTAATCTTGGTGATGGATATTCAGGTAAAAAGACACGATTAAAAAAGGAAAAAAAAATCGTCTCACTTCAGTTTCTGTCACGGATAAGTAAGAGATTTTCTTTGGTAATGCTGTAAAATTTAGCCACTTGAAAGTGTGAGTTCCTAAAGTAGACTTCACATATATGTTTAAGAAACCTATATATATATCTATATATCTATGTATGGAAATATTCAAGGAGAAGGGAACATAGAATTTCATGTGCGTTTTCAAAGGAATGCTACACATGATGTAATGCATTAAACAAACATTCAGTAGTTAGGAACTTATTCTAAATTAAACATGTTTTTCTACAATAAATAATAATCGGGTGCATATATATTATGCACGATGCTCAATGCACTCAATTTAAATAGGAGAAGATCCATTGTTAAAATGGTATCTGATTAACAGATCAGAAATATAGAATATCTGGTACAACATAATAAACGATTTCGTTAAGTGATATAAAATAGATACATCTTGAAACATCCGAGATACTATAAATGGTGTCCCGTTATTATTGCATGACGCTTAATTTTTATAGTGTATCTTGTCAAATTCATGCCCAAGAGTAAGAGCTCCCTTAAAAAAATGTCTCCTTCCCGGCAGAAGGACGCGGCAAAACCCCGTAGTTATGTATTCTGCTATTATGTCTCCGGTCATGGTATGAATTTAAGCAATTTCAGGTCTCTCAGTTCATAAGTTTTGCATTTCTAAAATACTTTATTTACATCTTAAATGTCACAGCGTTAACCTTTGTTATTTTTCAATGAAGGTTATGGACATGCCACCAGAGTCGTTCAAGTTGCCTCAGAGATTCTTTCTCTCTCTCGCAAGCACATTCTGTACATAATTTCAAATGCTCCACGATTTATCTTTCAGGGAGCAATAGACCGTGGTGCGAAATATAGACATGCACTTATAGACGCAGGTGTTCAACAACCTAGAGCATACACCGTTGATAGAAAACAGACAATAGACGATTTGAAGGCGTTCCTTCAAAATAGACCGGAAATGATTACCCGAGAAGTCGGATGGTTAAAGGAAGTAAAGGCTGACGTTGTTTTATCCGATGCGCCATTTCTGCCATGGTGAGTTGACCGATCCTTTAATTTTGGTGAGAATTCAATCGGAGCTTCCACATAAAGATCCACATCATTTTATTAATGCAATCCACTTATAGTGCAGCGGCGTCTGCAGCAGGAATTCCGTCATCGATCGTTAGTAATTTCACATTCGATGCAGTTTATAATGGTTTGTGCGAGGGTGATGATCTAGACGTGACCATAAGGCAACTTGTTGAGCAAGTTGTAGAGGATTATAAGAAATCCGATTTGTTGATCCGCCTGCCTGGCTACATTCCGATACCATCGTATAATGGAACTCAGCTTTATCCCGATTCAAGTGTTTCGATAAAGCCCGTCAAATTATTAAATGGGTGTTCCGCGACAATTGGAATAAATCACCTGAACGGATTTGATTTTGCCCTGACCAAACATCATGGCAACGTGATTGATGTTCCTCTTGTTGTCCGGAAATCGATAACACCAAGAGACGTCTTTCTTTCAAGTCTTGGTATTCCGAGGGAAATTCATGAAACCCATAAAATACTGATGGTCTCCTTCGGAGGACAGAATTTAGTTGGTATGAAGGAATGGGGAAATCCGTTGCCCTCCGGTTGGATAGCAATAGTGTGCGGTGGTGACCCGGAGACATTACCCGAGAAGTTTTATAAGTGTCCTAGAGAAGCATACATCCCAGATCTAACAAATGCAGCCGATGTGGTGATGGGAAAATTGGTAAGATTTCTGAACTTGAACCTAACAAAATAATTGTCATTGTGGTCGCTATTCGAATTAACGGTATTATATCTCCAAGGGGTATGGTACATGCTCAGAATGTATTGGTCACGAGAAACCTTTTATTTATGTTCCACGGCCGCAATTTATCGAGGAACTTGGATTGAGGCGTCTCATGGAGATGCAAGGTTCATGCGTTGAAATGCAAAAAGAACATTTTGAAACAGGACAATGGAAAAAATATATATTGCAAGCATCCTGTATGCCGGGTGCTTGCGAAGATGTTAGTAAAAGATTATCGCATGATGGTGGTAAGGTGGCAGCGAAATTAATAGAAAAATTTTTAGACGCTCGTGTTATGACCATTAGGAAAAGCAAAAATATTAGTGGTTCGGTACCTAACAATCCTATCTTAATATGAAGGTTATCACATATCATTAATGTCTTTTTTTTTTTTCTTAGTCAAAAATATTTTTATTTATTATCTTAATCGATAATTCTCTAATATATTATTTCGCTTGAAGAATTTTCATTGAAAATCGATCGACAAGTTTGCATTCTCACTTAAGATGTTCCATGTCCCAATTGAGAGTTGTAATGACATGAATGGAGAATCCTATTGAATGTCTCAGCCGACATTAGTCATTTTGTACTGCTAAACATAAATTCTGTTGGTGTCGATAATTTCTTACATATCATTAAATAATTGTAAAAACAACAAAAAAGTACCTGATTTATGCTTAATCATCTTTCAGTGTAATTCTACTTGACTCTTCCCAAACTTTCTTAATCTTACCCAATTCGAAACATTTTCCATAATTATGATGTTTCACAAATTCCGTTAATATCCAGAAATTGGCCACAAAAAACATCACGCCTGCCATCCAAATTCCTAAAAATGTATTTTCACCCAGAAATTCGAGTTGATAAGCTTGATAAAGCCAGATCGCCTATTTGAAAATTATTATTATTATTGTTATTTTAATTGAAGTCATTAGAAAGTAGATGACCACACACGAGCTGGAACAACAATGAACGTGTTTACCTGACCGCTAACCCACGCCAGAAACATGGAAAATCCTTTCCATTTAAGATTAATTTTCATCGATTGAACGACGAGAGGAAACAGACATATGTACCACATAAAATACTGTCAAGGAGTTCAAGTAATATTCGATTAGATCAATGTGATTAATGATAACTTGGATCATCGGGAGCCTTTGAATACCTACTTGTGAGGTGCAAACCTTGTTGTACATCACAAACGCAAAAGTCTGAATGAAACAAGCAAAAAGTATGTCCTTTCCGAATATGATTCCAAGAAGAGAGACGATGCCAAATTGTGGCAGAAAAGGAAGTAGACCCAAAATCGAGCCCTTAGAGATGTCAAACGTGAGATAAATATAGTAGAACCATATAGAAAAATTGTGTCGAGGATCTTTACGCGTCAAATGGTAGAGATAGGTTTCGTTCACAAATTCCTGTTGATACCTTTTTAGGAGTTCCATGAGATGTTGAATTTCGTTCGGGAATTGCGTGAAGATTCACAAGTAAACTTACAAGTAATACATTATTCCATTCAATAAGAAGAAGACACCTCCACTTGTTAAAGAAAATCTGATACGCGTCGGTGTCACGAATCTCAGTATCTTACAATACCAGTACCTCCACGAACTTTTATCATATTCCCGTTCTTTGCCCTTCCTCCTCAATCCTTTGTAATCTTCATCATCCAACAATATCAATAGTGGAAGTATATAAATAATTGGATATATTTTAAAATGAACCGAAAGTCCGTACAAGATGCTCGCCAAAAGTAATCTTTTTATGAGAACCCAATACAAAGTTAACAAGACCATTGCTCCGAGTAAGGACTCCGCGTTTCCACGCGTTGAAATGTTCGCTACAACTGGATTCAAGAGCCATAATGCAGAATGTTGCGCTGCCTTTCTCTCGTCCAAACCTCTTAGACAAAGTAATCGATGTATCAGAACTCCAACGATTATATCCGCAAGGACAAACACGATCTTACCGAAAGACTTGTGAATATATACATTTGGTGTTAACAAGAAGGCGAGGAGGGGTGTATACCGATAGGTTGATCGTTTGTATGGGCTTTCGCCCAGGGTAACAAAACGCGCCGCATCAGAAAAGACTCTATAGTCTATATCCGTATATTTAACTCGCATATGTTCATCCTGCCATTCGCCGTATGCCAGCAATACTAAACGAAAGATAATTGCAAGTATACATATGGTGGTGAAGTTTAAATTCGTTAAGGACATTTGCACCACGATGAAAGATTTGGCATTAAGAAATTTGACATCCACTTGACTATCACATGTTACGACCGATCATGTGCGAGTGAACGTCTACTATAAATATCGTGTCAGAATATCACGCCACCGCTTAGGCTTCGCGCTTTTTTCTAACTTATTCTTTATCATGACTGCTCATTCAAAACCTGTAAAACCAGCGTTTCCGACGTTACTTTTGATGCTTTATATTACACAGTTAAATACGCATCCCCTGAAAACAAAAGCCATAACCTCGGGCGTGTTACTTGGTTTGCAGGAATTCTTAGCTCAGGTATTAAGTGCAACACGTAGCAAGAGAAAGGGAAAGTCCAAACAAAACGAACAATATCTTAATTTGGACAATAGAATAATTAAAATGGCACTATACGGTAGGAATATTTATTGACTCTGGCTTTCTTTGACATTCGGAATCGAGCTTTTAATTACTTTATTCACGCTTTTTTTCTAGGTTTCTTTATTAACGGTCCCATGAACTACGTTCTTTTCGAACTGCTGAACAAATCATTCCGAGACCGTTCCAAATGGTTAAAGTTTATTGCTTCTCTGTTGATAATCGTGCCGATTCAAAATGCTGGTACACTTTCATCCCTGCGAGTGCTTGTCTGACTTTGTAACAACTGAATTCGATCAAAAAAATTCTTACTTTCAGTGCTTCTGGCGGCAACGGCGTTAATCAATGGTGAACAAGCTGTGGTTTCAGTTAAAAGATCTATTTATCCTACACTGAAATCTGCTTGGATGGGCACAGTATTGACTACCGTGTTTGCTCAAAAAGCTTTATCACCGCCGTATTGGGACCCTTTCTTCAGTCTTGTTGGGTGAGTATCCTTATACGTGTTCATTTTATTGTAGCACTTCACACCTTGTGTAACCTATTAAAATTTACTAAAATCATCAACAGCTTTTCATTCGGCCTATACGCAAATACTTGCCAAAAAATAGCCCAACGACAAAAAGAACCAAACAGTGGATAATATCAATACTATCGGCACTTGCCTAAATTTGATTCGTATTATCACGTGATATTTAATTATGAAATAGAAATTTATAATTTAATTTATGACTTTAAAATAAAATTTTTATTTTAAATTATATTATTTTTAAATTAGTAACATTTATATTTGATGTAAATAAATATTATTATATATACAAAAGAAAAATAATATATGTTTTTTATATTATTTCAATAGATTAAACATTGATTTGTATTATAAAAACCAGTTATAATACTGTATATTAATATATTATTTATTACATATATAGTATAAAATATTTATTTGGCCATATGGCTTTTAGATTTGATGTCCAACTAGCAGTCAAAACCAGAATATTCATTAGGAAGTACATACTTATATCAAAGAATCTTGTTATTGTATATGTTGTATAAGCAAAAAGATATAATATAATAGGTACTATAACTTACTTAGATAATTATTAGTATAAGTCCTTATAAGAAAGATTAAGCTTTATAGATTAGATAATAGTAATAGAATTCTATCTTATATAGCTCCCTAATATCATAAGGGAAAATTATCAAGTAACAGGTTTCTAGATATCAGATAATACAATTTATAAACTAGTATTTAGTTATAATTATATATTATAAAAGATATTTAATATAATATAATTGTATATTAATAAAGATTTGTATCTAATACTGTTTTAACTTTAAAAAAAAACAAAAAAAAACAATATAGGTAAAGATGGGTCCCGAAATTCATATATTATGTCCTATAATTAAAATTTTTATAACTGAAATTGAATTATGTCCTTCTAAGAATTTAGGTTATAGGATATAATTAATTTAATAATTAAATATAATTTTATAATTAAAATAAAAATTTTATAATCTAAATTAAAAATTTTATAACCTAAATTAAAAATTTTATAACCTAAATTAAAAATTTTATAA